GCTTGATAATAAACCTAAACCTACAACATAGAGATCACCTTTAAGCATTCAAACTCTTAAGGGTATTAGCTTAAACCGAAGATTTCTACAGTAATTGTATACGCGATATTCCAGCGCTAAAAAGTTAGTTGTTAAAAGAAGCGTTTACAAATTTGGCAAAGAATCAGGTAACAGCGAACAATGGTTCAAGGCATATGGTATGCACATACTGACATACGTCTATTTAGAATAACATGAGTGAAAACATCCATGTAAGCAAACCTCAGCAGCAGGTCTCCGAAGAGCAAGCTGGAGCCAGGAGGAATCTCAATCATGACCGCTCCCTCAACACCAAGAAAGCTCCCCACCCCTTCCTAGCGCGGATGTTCATGCATGCGGCCTGAGTGATTTTGACTTATTCAATACTTATTTCACAGTGATTCTATACACACTTAATGACCATTCAGGAACCTGCTTCAGCAAAGGTCCAACTTGAGTTTCAAAAATTCAGGTAAATCCGTTCATTAGGAGGCAATGACGAGCAAATTCGGCGCAAAGATGCGCAACAAAGAATACAAGAAATACTTGGAAAATCTCTGGAAAATTTTTGAGAATGAGAAATTCGCTGTAACTTTTGTGGTTAAAGTCTTCTGCGGAGAACTAACTGCAGCTCTCCGATTAGCAAACACTTTTTTGGTCCTCATAATTTTGCTTTCCTTACATCAAACACATTGACCCAACTTGTAGCGCAATAAGAAAATCAAAGAAATTCCCCTCTTCCTTGGTAAAACCCCAAATCGTTTTACCTTTGAAGAAAAGGCGCTCCAAGTAACAGCACTGCAGTGTTCTGTTTGCACGCGTTTCTATAGGTTACTCGGGGGGCTTTCTAATTTACTGGATTTTCAAGTATATTCGTTCTCATAAGGTTAAGGCCTGTTTGTAAGTAAACGACACTATTAATTTCCACGAATCATTAAATTTTTGAAAACCCTGTAGCAAACACTACGTACGTAAAAAATTGGTGTGCATTCCAATTGGCACTCAGTGTTAATCACTAATTTGAAAGTGCATTTATCTAAAATGATCATTTCCTATCCGTTCAAATGAATGCGCTTTCATCATCATGTATATCAGTTCAAGA